ATGCCGCGCCACGTGGGGGGGGGAGGGGGGCGTGGCTGTGGTGCCATTGACTTCAATACGCCCCCTCCCTCCCCAGAACCCAGTGAGTAGGCCGGGATGCGATCCAGTGCCTTCCAGCACAAAATTGGGCCGGAACACACTGGGGCTGGTGTGAACTAGCCCTTGGGGCTTGTTCACACCAAGCGTGGAGCAGATCCAGAGCAGACCGGATCAAAACTGCGTCCAATGTATTCCTATGGTATTTTGAGCTCCAGTTCACATTGCAGCGTGCAGATCCAGAGCAGGTGAAAAACCTGCGGCAAGCCCTATTTTACTTGCTCTGGAACGCATCAGAAACGCATCAAAAACGCATGCAAGTGCCTTAAAGCCCATGTTAAACTTTAAAAAAAAAAAAAAATTGTTTACCAAAAACGGCCCGGAACGCATCAAAAACGCATCAAAAACGCGGCACAACCCACTGCACTGCGTGTGCAGAAACCTGACTGGATCTGCTCTGCATTTGGTGTGAACAAGGCCTTAGACAGTGTAATTTTTTTGTTAAAAGCTAGCCAGTACGTGTGCTGGGAATTTTTGTGTTTTGTATCGTTGTAAGCCCTTCCACGTGCACCTTGCTATCAGGACTAGTTATAAACTGTGCGGTTGCCATTTTTGTTTACTCATAGCAGTGGGGAGTCTGGGCTAAGTTCTCAATAAAAGGGATTATAGGAAAGAATACAGAGGTGGCAACGTGTCCTTCTGCATGACAGTCACATGACTTTTCTTCTCCCAAAATCTTACTAAACATTTATATGGACCAGTCACATTAGGGGAACCTACAGCAAATATTAACAAATCCATATTTTAAAAATAACTTCTAATGACTTTCACAACTGTTTGTTTTATCTCTCAAATACAGACTGCTAGATTATCCCTCTAGTGCCTATATCTGTACATCAGATGTAGCTGACGTCACTGTCCCAACTGAAAAACTGTCAAGATTACATTTATCTTTTTCAATCAGTCTGAGTTTACCTAAAGTGCTTGTGAACCCTAACAATAAAGTTCTCGAATTTCGTCCCTTCTGGTGTTTTAAATTTACCATTAAATGTGTTTTGTTATCTCGGTTGGATAAGTCTTAAAGAAACAAAACCTTTTGATCCTGCCAGAAATCCATTGAGCTATTAACTTCTTCTACACTCTGCCTCTGCTTCACTAAAATATAAAGCAACATAATTAGTTCTTGCTAGTTCTCCTCTGTGAACTACAGAAGACCTCACTCTTTGCCATGTAGATGAGGAGAGGGGGATTGTCTGCAGTCCCTTCCTAGGGTGACAACACTGTTTCTCTTCAGATACAGTACAGTAAGTGATTGTTGCCACCATAGAACAGGAAGTATGTGACTGGCAAGATCAAAAGGTGAAAATAAAGAAAGAAAAAGCCTCAAAAATGGAAACTAAAGCAGCCACCAAATCAAAGGACTGCTAATATATTACATTATTATGGGGCTTTGATACACTTCAAGAGAGAATAGTAAAGGCCAATTACTACTAAGAAACAAATATGGCTGCCCCAGGTACACAATTACACAAACGTTGATAGAAATAAAGTATTATAAACATTAACACAATTTTGAAGGCTTATGTACATTAACCTGATCCCATTAACATGCATATATAAAAATGTTGCATTTAAAGAGAACCTGAATGGGCAAAGTGACAGGTTCTCTTGA